CGTTCCGAACGCGGGGCCGTGTGCTGGTGTTTTACCAGCTCCCCATTTTTAAGTTTGAGACCACGTGGAGTTCGGGGTTCTGTCGTGTCCTATGTTTGAGCTCGATAAAGAAACTCTGAACACCAATGACTCCAGTGCAGGCTGCACGGTCGGACAGGACCTGGGGGATCGTCTGCCCTGGCTCTTCCTCTTGGAAGCGTGGCGGTGAAAATCCCGAGCAGTGAGCCGGGGAGAGCAGTGAGCCGGGGAGAGCGCCGAGGCCCGAGCTGACTGCCTCTCTCACTCTCACCAGGCCCGCCAAGTACGGTGACATTTACAAAAGGAGAGAGGAAAAGGAAGGGGGAAAGAAAGAAAGAGATGTAAATAAAGGAGGAATGCTACGTGGAAACGACCGGCGATCGCTTTTCCGCAGAGCGTGTGGAAGCACTTCCGTTGGCGTGAAAGCAAATGTGAAGCACGGGGTAGCATCCCCGGGAGCGGTCTTTAGGGTGACAGGAAAGTTGTGTGGTGGTGGAGGTGACGTGGGATTGCAGTGACGCGTGGCACAGGCCTGGAGGGCCCAGGATACCGATGTCAGTGTTTCCTGGTATTGATGCGGTGCCATGGTTACATGAGATGCCACCGTCGGGTAAAACTGGATGAAAGATACACAGGACCTCTCTGCTGTTTTTGCAACTTCCTGTGAATCTGTCATTATATCAAAATAAAAGGTTTAGAAAAATTCAAGATTCATTGTGATTTTGTCTAAAGAAAGGACTAAGAGCTTCTGAATGGGTGAGGAAAGGAATAATATAGCTTTACTTGGACTAATAGCTATCTCATATCTATATATATCATATATATATCATTTATATCTATATATATCTATAGATACAGATAGATATATATCTACCTATCTAGATATATATCTATCTGTATCTAGATATATATCTACCTATCTAGATATCTATCTATCTGTATCTATCTATCTATATATAAAGAAAGAGACATATTCTCCTTCCTTTTATGGTAGAAGTGGCTCCAAAGGATTGAATAGACCTCACTGGACTTAGCATCTTGTTAGCTCCTTGACATGGTCGATCGAAAAACTTCCATATTTATTCCACCGATATGAATCAAGGTTTGTAAAATGAGTGGATGTGTTGATATTGTACTAGTATCTGAGGCTATATGTGTAGTAAAACATCTTTCCGAAATAAAAAACGATTTTAGGGTAGTTCTCACATTTAGAACAGGTGGGTGGTGGCCGAAGTTGGGGTGGGGAGGTGAACAGAGCAGGTCAATGGTGTTGAAAGGTACAAACTTACCGTTTTAACGTAAGTCCTGGGCATGTAATATACAGCATGGTGGCTGCAGTTAACAATCCCGTATTGTGTATTTGAAAGTAGCTAAGAGAGAAACTCTGGAAAGTTCTCAGCATAAGAAAAAAGTCGTGAGCTCGTGTGGGGATGGATGTTTACGAGATTTAACCGTGGTGATCCTTTCGCAATAGGTACAAATACCAAAACGTCACGTGATGCACCTGACGCTGATGTGATGTCATGTCAGTTCGAAAAAAGACAGTTCTCTCATTCAAGTTTTATCTTTACATTTTAGTTATCGAATCGAAAACACTTCAAGGAAACAAAGGAGAACACAGCTTTAACAGCTCCGGAGTTTTTGTTGTGGAAAACACGACGATTGAATTGCAGAGAGGCTCGGAGAGGCAAACCTTTAAGATCCCAGGACCTCTCATGGCTGATTTCATCTTCAAGGTAGGGTGATCTTTATAAAACTTCAGGGCCCTGAAGCTCAGCACATCTTGAATTTTAAAATCCGTGCGTCCAGCAGGAAGTCACCGATGATTGTTTTTACGTGGAGCAGGTACCGTTACTATTTCCATCCTGGCTTCGATTCCAAAAATAATCGTCCATCTGTCTCAGGTTTCTGCTCTAAAACCTCGTTAGCTAAGAAACAAATGTCACTTTGATGGGGGAAAGATTGTTTTCGTATTTATAACCTCTCGATGGAGTTTGGTGAAGTGCTCAGGGGCTACGTGCTCCAAAGTCCTAAAACAGTTCTGTGCTATTGCAGGAGAGCAGAGAAGACAGGCTGGTTCCTTAGCCTCCTTTCTGTCCCCCCAGACAGTACCTCATGGTGGGCACTCGTCTGAGCCCCTGTCGCAAGGTGCCTTCAGAAGAATTCTTTTTCCCTGTAACCGTGAGCCTATTGTGTTCCCTCTCTGGGTAAATCAGAAGCATCTTTATATCCTCCCTCAGAGGATATGAAATGTAGTAGCTCATGTATTTCCAAGGTGACCCAACATGAAATTTTCCTGATAAAACTGAGAATACCTGAGAAATGGAAAAGGCAAGGGTCGAGGGGTGGGAGGTTGTCCTATCCCTTTTCACAAACTCACTCCAAAATGGAAAGGAAAGGAAGAAAATAGTCCTAATTACGAAGGCTGACTTTACCTATGAAAAGACCCGGTACCTTCAAAAGGACCGTGTCTCCGCTTGGCATGATGTCGGTCGTGCCAGCAGAGAAGGACACGTGGAGTTATCCGCGAGTTGCAGACCGCCATCCCGTGCTGCACATGCAGCCTGCCATGTGACCAGCCAGGCGTCGGCCCACACTGGGCTGTTGTTGTGAAACTTGGGTTCCCCTCCCCCGCCACCTGGAACACTGTCGTTTCTCCCAGGCTGGGCTTTGGTGAGGGAAGGCAGTCTTTGCCCTTATGTCATTTTAAATGGTCAGCCCTCAAGAGACCAGAGGTTTCACCTTACAAACGCCAGGTGGTTTCTGCTTCTCCTTAGAAGTGGGAAGATCTGCACTGTGCCACAGCAATCATCAGGTGCTGCTGGTGACAGCTGCCCTTGGCGTCAGAGCATGATTTCTCGTTTGCCTGGGTTCCCACCACCCCCTCGTGGGTCCCTAATCTTAAAGGCGTAAGTGTCGGCTGCCATTCGGAGACATTTAAGGACCGTTTTTGACAGCAGTGCTGCAAAAGGCTTTTGGGGACCAGTGCTTGTCATTTCTCTTTCTTTCTGCCCCCTCTCTCTGGCCCATTGTTATGCCTAAATTATATGCTTGTCTTACTTCATTTAGGGTTTCCCATTTGATTCTCAAGTCCTATACACATGCGCACACACACACACTTTTTAAAAAAAATTCTCTTTAATTTCTTTTCTAGAGTATCTGTAGGTTTCTCAAATTGATTCGAAGATCTCTGACTGGGTAGGAGACATAAATACAATGATGGGGTAAGAGAAATAGCCAAAGGTTAACTTTCCAGGATATCGTTTGGTTGTAGTATACATGCTCTTTGTCGACACCATGCACACAAACATACATACACATAAACTATATATTTCCGCAATTGTGCATATACATGCACGCATGCACATATGCGCACACATAAATATGCATATGTGTGTATACTTTTTTTTTAAGATTTGGAAGGATACACCGAAGATGCTCAAGAAATGGCTATTTTAGAGGGGATAGGTGCTTTGGGGAAGTGAGCTTAGTTTTACTTAAAATATTTTAATACTAAAAGTAATTCTATTTTATTCATTCATTCATTCATTTATTTATTTATTTATTTATTTATTTATTTATTTATTTATTTATTTATATTCTTTTTAGGCGAGGCAACCCTTGGTTGACCTCACAGATGCCAAGGACCTTGTCACCTTACAATCCTTTATTTTTTTTTAAAAATTTTTTTACGCCTACAGCACCTGGTCTTCCTAGGTGGTCTCCTATCCAAGTACTAACCAGGCCCGACCATGCTTAGCTTCCAAGATCAGACGAGATCAGGTTTGTTCAGGGTGGCATGGCCGTAGACTTAAAGTAATTCTTAAAGAGTCCAGGTGCATATCACCTGCCTAATCAGAAATGGTCTTACATCTCCTGGCCTGGTCGTACACTCACCTTCGACTGAACACCTGCAGCAGCACGTCGCCGCCATCTGCGTTAGGATTCTCTCTTCTGTTTCCCTGTCTCAGAGTTCCGGTTCCGGATTTAATCCACAGTTCTGGTCTTTGACTTCAGCTTTGGGAAAGCATTGGATCTCTCTTGAGTGAAGAGGTTTTAAAAACTATATATTTACCGAAGCGGGCGTTGCACGCAGCCCCGGCTGACGCATGCGTGAGCAGAGCCTGGTGTTCACGCTCACAGCCCTCGACTCCCACGGACGTGGCGTGCTTGCTGAGTGAAAGTCTGGTAAAACAGGAGGCACGAACAGCTCCGATGTGGTTTTTCCCAGACGTACAAGTCCACAGGATGGGGGTTTCTAGGAAACACCCTCTTTCATGGGTTCCCCTCCCCCGCCACCTGGAACACTGTTGTTTCTACCAGGCTGTGCTTTGGTGAGGGAAGGCAGTCTTTGCCCTTATGTCCCCCAGCCCATCGTGCACTGAAGGCGTGGCTGTACTTTGGGAGGTCGAACATGCACGTGAGGTCACGGCTGAAGGACGGCCAAGTGTTCCACTGTGTATCTTTCCATCCCCATGTCTCAGGAGCAGCTGGTCTTAAAAATGGCAGAGCTGGGTGAACCCGGGGGGCATGAGGACATGAGGACCCGCCCTGCTTGCTCAGGCCTCATATGGCTCCGTCATGGGTGCCCTGAGATGTCTTGAGGCGCCTCCTTCCCCCCTTCACACGGTTCATAGAATACACTTCATTCCATGGGCTGTCAATACATGAGCTGTGAAAAGTACTATGTTCCTACGGAGAGCGTTAGATGTGAAGACGTCAGTGGGGTGCTAGACTATTATGTGGTTATCGTTTCTCCGATTCTGAAGTTTAGCCACTCACTGCACAAGGGAGACAAAAATTTCTTTTTTCTACCCCTTAAGAAGCTAAGTTTTCATGATCGGATCATTCTTGAAAGTTGAGCTTTTCCTTCTTTCCTGCGGATTTCTCACTCCATATTCTTGTTTTCCTGAATACTCTGGTTCTCGTGGGTGACCTTTGTCCCAGCACTGCTGAGTCAGTATTTTGGATTAGAGCCCCTGAGGTCTCATTTTGCTTCTAGAGCGTGTGCATGTCACCACCAAGTAGCAGTAGAGAGTCTTGATCAGGTAATTGGCACTGCTTTGTTGCCTGGATCCTAGGGTTAGCACTATTGATGCCGTGAGAATTAGTGGAACATTTACATGTGTGAGTAGATGTTTGTGAATATCAGCTTTAACTATATGCCTATGAGAATAATCTAATAAGTGGCTTTGATAAAGACGTCTCTTTCTATGGTTAACTATTTTTAACGATTGCTGGTGGCTTTTCTCTCTTTTAAAACATAATATGTCCGTCTTCAGGCAGGAAAAAATCTTTTCCTCGTGCTCTGAAATTTTCCTTTTTATACCAGTTGTCTATCATCTTTCTCCCATTTAGATATTTTGCATTTCTGTAGGACAGTGTTTCCTGATTGCTTTTTCCAGTAGTTTTCAGCTACGCAAGTTCTAGATATACTCGTGTTCTCTACCTATATAGAGTCTCTTTTCTTTCAGGAGAATTCTGACTTATCCGTGAACGAGAAGATGTGAAACGGCCCATTTTCCTTTCTTTCAAGTAATAGGTTGCAGCCTTGCAATGCGGTGCGGACAGTGGCTGAATTTATAGATTCGCCAGTGTTTCAAAACACAGCAAGACACAGTTTTTAGATGCAGAGCCTGCATTGGATTCCGAGGCTACTGTAACAAAGCACCATAAACTGGGTGGCTTAGACAACAGGCTTTTATGTCTCATGGTTACAGAGGCTAGAATTTCAGAATCAAGGTGTGGGCAGGATGGTCCCTTCTGAGGTCCCTGAGGGAGAATCTGTTTCATGCCCCCTTCCTAGCTTCTTGTCGTCTCAGACATTATCCATTTGTCTTTACATCACCTTCCCTCTGCGGCTATCTGCCTCTGTGTCCAAATTTCCCTTTTTAATAAGAACAGCAATCACACTGGATTAGGGACCACCCTGATAACCTCGTCTTAACTTGACTAGATCTGAAAGACCCTATTTCCATATAAGATCACATTGTGAGGTTCTGGTGGTTAGGCCTGAAACATATATATATATATTTCTTCCTCCAGGGAACATAATTCAACCCATAATAGTGCCCAATGGAAAAGAAAATTTACCTGTTTCATCATGCCTCTTGATGAGAATTCCATCTCGTCCTAAGTGTTTGCCATTTACCTCAAAGGTGGAAACTTTTGAAATATCACATATTTTTGCTGTAATGGAGTCTGTCGAAAGAAATGTCTTGGTTAAAGCAGTTCAGATACTGCTCTAGTGGTCACCAGAATTCACAGCTAAATTATACATACAACTTTGTACACACATATAAAAAAAGTTTTATATAAAAACTTATGCCATAAATTTGAGAATTATTTTGACGTGGCCAAGTAAGGTAGTTGAATTTGAATTCGTTTTCTTACCACTGTTATAAAACAGTTTTCCTAATCAAGCAAGAGTCATATGCTTTTGTAAATGTTTGTTTATGTCCCTCCCTTGCCATTCTGTGTAGTTGACCATCCTCTTCCCAGAGGAGCTCTCTGCCATGGGGTTTGAAGGTAGTAGTTGGTGATTGGGCTGTTTTTAGCAAGAATGCAAAGAGTGAGCATTAATGTTCAACTTCTGATTATCAAAGTAGGATTTAATAATCAGGTTCATGGAGAGAGAGAAGGCTTTTGTAAGTTGATTTGGTTCCCATGGCATTTTCAGGGCCAGGCTTGGGGGACTAAATCAAGATGTTTCTTCTACAATACGGAGAGGCTGCCCCATAGCCAGGATGCACGTCCCCTGTAGCGAGAGTCCCGCCTGGATGTGGACCGTTGGCTCCCTCTGCCTCGGGGGATTGTGGGTAACAGTAAAGACGAGGTACATGGTAGAGGAAGCAAAGTGGTGAGACATGATGGCACTCACTCCCCAGAGCAGAAAAGGAGCATCTGCTCTATTTTTCATCCTGAACCTCCAGGGGACAAGGCCTCAGAGGGCGTCCACCTCTGTCTGCAACAACTCAGGGAAGCCAGCTCAGAATGGTCCTGGCCTTCATGTCATGACACGTTTCGTCACAGCTGAATCTGAATTTCCGCCAACCCCCAGCCAGGGAAGAACACAGCTGAGTTTACTGGCACTGAAGCTCCCCATGGCCCTGCCAGTGACCAGTGGGACAAGGGACAGCTGTAGGCCCAAGGACAGGATGAGAACCTTCACGCATGGATCCAAGGCTTAGGTCCTAGAATGCTCGCGTGTAAACACCAGATATTGGTGTGCACTCTAGTGTCTGTGGTTGAGCTTTCAGAAGGATTTTTCAGGAGGAGCTGCTTAAAGATGTTATTGCTAAAAACGTAAGAATTTATTTCTGTGCCATGCTGTAAGCAAACGCAGATTAAGCCTTCGTCCCTGCTCTTGTGCACATTATAATCAAATGTCTCAGGAAGAAAAGAACGTTAAATAAATAAAATTTTTTTAAAAAGTCCACCTACATGTTTTGTGAACTCATTCATGGGCATGGAATCATCTGGAAGAAATGACTTCTAGGAGATTGGCTGTAGATCTCTTGAGCACCCACTTGTGACAAATCTAACGGAAACAGTATCATATCTTAAAAGTCTTGGAATCTTCATGTACCATGGTTGGTTGTGACAGACGTGTGGTTGTCTGCATAGGTGAAGTGTATTCGCCTTGTTATGGAAGGTGCGGGAAGCACGAGCTCATTGTATATGCAGAGGTGTTAACGCAGTTCTGTCTGTCCAGACCAGGTACACCGCAGCCAAGGACAGCACGGTCCAGTTCTTCTTTTACCAGCCCATCAGCCATCAGTGGAGACAGACCGACTTCTTCCCCTGCACTGTGACGTGTGGAGGAGGTGAGGCTCAGACTCTGTTCGCAGATATTTAGAGCTCAGATTTAGAAAGGACACATTTGCAATTGTGAAGCTGACTTTAAAATGAGCGTGGAGGTGTGTAATGGCACGGGGTCTCACTCAGCAGCCTGGAATGCAGTGGTGTTTACGAATGTGCCCTGGCCTTTATTCTTAAAGATAATCGAGAAAACTGGATTTACAAAACACCCTTTACTTTCAGTAAAAATCGGGAAACACGTTTTGCAGGCGTTCTTGCATTTCTCTTCTTGATTGTCCTTAAAGCATGTATCATTTTAATTTTTCTGTGGAAAACTTGAGAAACGGAGAGACCAAGCGACTTGCCCAGGCCGATCAAGTTCATAGATTTGTTCGTTCTAACCCTTAGATTTCCACCTTGTCTTTCCTTAGAGTATAAGGAGTATAAATTTATCAAAAAGCGAAAGGAAGCTAGTTAATGTAACAGGAAGGTCCTGCTTGGCCTTCGCTTAG